CAATAGCGCTTCTGCTTCCTAGCAGAGGTGGGTTCATGACTCATCAAAGCTCCACCAGGAGACGTGCGCGTAGCGCACAAGATCTTCGACCTTCATTCAGATAAATAGTTCATGGTGTTTCAACCATGCCATACAAGGATAACGTCATACCTTGCATCCAAGTCTCGGACCAAGCGGCGTTCCACGCTATCAAAGTAACGAAACTGAAAACTGAGCTCCACAGAGACCCTCGGCACCGTGGCACAAGTCCCCGTCGCTAAGCGAACAGTGACGGTGCCACTCAACCATACCCTGGTATGAAGGGTGGTAACACGATATGGTGTGACCATACAAAGTTAGGGGTTACACAGTTGGTGTAATCACACAACGGTGTGGCTACACCGTAACAAGAAGTCAGTACGTGGCTGGACTGTCAGTAGTTATGCATTCATTCGGTCTAATTATCAGATTAGAAAAACCTATTGATTTAGATTTAGGCGGTTTTGCCTTAAGCAAAACCAAGAAATACAGTTTACATTTCGAACAAAAGAAGTTTTTCGCCTTGAGTTAAGGTTGGGAGTACTCTTGGAGTAAGCAGATTGCGATCCGCTACACTCGTACTGGGTCCAAGTATAGAATGAAGGTCACAGACCTTAGCTTAGCTTCCTCTTAGCGAAAGAGCTACGGCAGCCCCGCTGTATAGGTCATCCAGGATGGCACGATGTTGTTGGGCCTGAAGGTGTGCACGCAATTAGAAAAAGAGGGCAATTTCCGGTTCTGAGAGTCAAATCCGGCCATAATGGCATCTCTCATCTCGGATGAGCGACTCAAATTTGTTTTGGCCCGTTCAAATTGAGCGAGCGTTAAAAAACACGGGCATTTATGTATATGTCACATAATATAGCTTTCTCTGTTGCTTTACATGCGGCTAAGAGCCCACATTTACCGCGGACTCTGAGCCTCATCACCTTCATAAGTACTGATACTTTGGTACTTACTATCGAATCCCAGTAAAAAAACAGAAGTCGTCCAAATTTCGCTATTGTGTTTTTTGCACATTTGCACGGAAGTGTATATTGTTTGCATGTGATAGAACAACACATACTCCGTTACGCTCATTATGCGTTGGCATATACACATATGGTGATGCCTCTGATCCTTTCACATCGTGGTCGCAAATCTGTGAGGAGATGCTTGCCACAAAACTTCGTCAGCTTTCGCGCTTCCGGGTCTGCAGTCTGTAAGAAATGAGAGCGCGATCTCACGAATTGTGCGTGCTGACGGTATCTTTGGTGATAAGTTATCCCAAGTGTAGATTCAGCCCTACGCCCAGCTCTTTTAGGTGCAGACTTGCAGACTACGACGGTATTGGTGGCGATACAATCCACAAACAGCCCACTCTATGTATTGCCTGCCTGGTAAAATAATATGTTTATTACGCAACATTTATAATGTGTGGAATTATATCGATTCAAGGAATTAATCGTTTTATAATATAATTGCTGACATCAATATCTCAATGTATTAGAATTTGCCCATTATACTCAAACGATCTAAAACAATTTTGTATGCGTGAAGCTGATATGCCACCACTGACACCACTAACAGTGAGCCGATCAAGCGATCACTTGCGAATTATATGACTGCAACAACCCCTGAATGAAACAAATAGTCGTGTACTTTTGATAAGGCGGTTCTAAAATTATTATCGGTGCCCTTATCGTGTCAACAAAATCGCTACGATAGATTGAAACCTACTCTCAATAATAAATAAAGTAAGTGTAGTTGAAATTGAAAAATAGACGCATCCCGGCGTCAACCCAAACCGTGGGCGCCGAAACTCTTCCATCCATACGGCGATTATATAACATGCGTGCATTTCGACGCGCACTTTGCTACCAATTGTTGACGCCTACGATGCAGACGATCAGTCTGTCGCAACATCGCCATAGCCCACGAAGCGGAAAAACGGCTATCAGCATTATATATCAACAAGATTCTTCCTACCTCGTACACTCATTGCGAGGAGCTCCGAATAAAGCAATCAAGCCACTCTTATATTGTCTGTCGTGACAAGAGGGGGAATTTTGGGCATGATGCACAGTTGAAAAGATGTGTGGCGGCTTCGATTGTCGATCTACAAATATAGACTCAGTCGCTATCGCTCGACACCTTCGACGACCTCATTCAACTATAGTATTTTTGCGTATACAAGGAGCAGAAAGATCTTCCCGAAACATAGATGGCGTGATGGATCGAGATTTCATCTTTACGGTTGAGTATGTTTTTGACAGTGTTAGTCTTGATTTGGGAACTCGCATTTGTTGGGGCTGATCATTCGATTTGTGAAATAATAGCGACTTAATGAAAAGTGTGCGTGTACGCACCCTGCGATTGAACCAACTTGATCAAAACCACTTCTATAATATTCAGGAGCATTTGACTTTGATCATCAGATATCATTTTCCATAAAGCCATATGCTTTGCAAGCATTACATAATACTGCAGCGGCGCTCGTCCTCTTCTCCAACAAATCGTTCGATGTCTTCATCTGTAATTTTGCCGGGTTTTAAATTTTTTGGAAATAAATCCTTTATCAAAACGTCATCCATATCTGAACGAAGGTAGAAAAGCAAGTAAGCAGACGGACTGACGACCTGCCTGTCCTCTACAACTCGAACACGCTCGTCGTCGTAATAGTACCATTGATTATCAACGAAATTTTTCGCGTAGGCTGTGTAGTGCCCACCACCTAGTGCACCTTGGTGGTTAACGACACCATACAAATTGTACTTGGTTTCGAGGCATCGCGACTGATCTAAATTTGAATTTGTGTACCCACGACGCACGCGATTACGCACCGCGGCTGCCTCGGCTGCGGCCGCACTCTCGCTATCGGTAAGAGTTGCAGAAGAAATCTCAGCGTCGGTAGCCATACAGCTTGCGTCCTTTGTATCCTCTGACAATCCCCCTGTATCGGCATCGACGAATTTTGTTGGCGATTCGCTATCCGCTAGTTTCTCTTCTAATTTTCCTTCATCTGACTTGGCCATTTCCTCGTCGTGCGTACCAAGGCTACTCTCTGTTGCCACATTTGGAGCAATGTGCGTGGTAGATACGTTACTGACAGTGCTTTCACTACGAGATCGAAGCTTAAACAGCAATCGGGCGGGGGCCGTCACTCTACTTGTTGAACTTTTTCGCCTCTTCATTGGATACTTTTCTGGAGCTTCAACATGAGGAGCAACGCAACATGAAAGGTCCAAGTCATAAATGGGAAATTCCACCAGCGATGCCAACTTCCGACGGTATGTCTGTGTGTATTGGAAACGCTTCAGATGCACCACCATTACTGGAGGTAGACGCCAGATTTCAAGCTTTTTTGTCATTTCTTGGTGCAGTCTACAACTGGAGCAGTAGCCTTCGCTAATTTTTTCTTCGCTTGTAAAAGCGTCTAAGCAGTGTTTTAGTGGCACAGGGCCCTTCTCGATTGCCTCGTTTCGGGCGACGCTATCATGGTTTTCAACGTGCTTCATCTTATCCATCGTCTCGCGGTCCTGAAAAACTCTAAGATCCCAGTCAATCGCAATCGCCTCTTCTTCTAAAATGTCCAGACGCTCCGATGTACACGGAATTGTGAAGCCGAAACTGCGCGTAAGCCATGATGAACGTGAATCGGTCAATCCCTTGTTTTCAACGCGACGTAGCAAAAAGCCGCACCTCGAATTGATTGGCACAGATGCATCGTCTAGTCCCGCAAAAACGCTGTCGATGTGATTAGCGATAAGGTGGTCGCTATTTTGTGTTTCGTCTCTTTCCCACTCAATAGGGGGCGCGGCCTTCGGACCTACATAGCTTTTTACGCGTTCCCAAACCAGCTGGTACAGCTGAAGACCACTTGACAAATCGGGGCAAAGTCGCACAAGATTTGGTGAGCCAAAGGGCACGGGCCTGAATGGATTTTTGAAATACACGGCCGAGTAGCTTAGCTTACGCGAAAGCAATGGAATGTACAACAGCCGCGCTTGGCGTGGACGCAATCGATTCAGCGGCACCTTCATTTCATCTTCTGTGCGACGAAGGCGTACAAGGACAAGAGATGGATCTTCCGAGCCTGCGTAAAGTTGGGGTGGTTCCAATACCACAGCCGGAAAATATTCCTGCGATTGTGCTCGCATACGAACATCAACGAGCATTCCTTTGGTCAGATTCTTGTAGAAATCTGAGTAATCAGGTTCGTCTTGTCGTAAAGCACCCACTCCAACCGCCTGAACGAACGATGGACGACGGTGCTGAATGGCCTCAATCGTCTCCATGTCAAGCGGTTCTAACTGGAAAGCGATAAGTCGATCAACACTGCGAATCTGACCAATCCGGCGATTGTCAGCCTTGAAGCCCAAGATCATTGATCCACTGAACTCGCATAATTTAAAATCGTTTTCGGTTACGTTAGGTAGGTCGAACTCATTGTGGCACATATTCATAAGCTCGTGCTTTAGATCGAAAATCGTCGCTGAAATACTCAATCGCACGGAAACCTTCACTGGAGTGACACCTTTGGCTAACACCAACTGTACGGTTACCGTGTTGTGCTGTGGTTCCGGTAGCGGTACCTGGAGAAATGTGAAGGGCTCAAATCGTGCTGACTTAAAGTTGCACACACTGCATGTCAACAGCGACTTGTACTGGCCGGTAAACAGCGCAACAATGACTGATACCTCTCGCCTCAGATGATTACACCACCATTCATCGGCGAGGTCGCCATCATAGCGCCCGTCGCTGTCTGGTTGTTCAATGTAGGGTTTGTCGTGGATTCGATTAAGATCCTCACTTAATCCACTGAGCAAAAACGCGAGAAGCTCCTGCGCGTCTTGCTGATCGTTGCCACGAAAAGCTTCATTGAATTTGCCGATTGATTTCTTAAAATTTCGCGGGGATATTGACTTTTGCTTTACACACCACATGTCTTCTGCGAGCTTTCCATATACCTCGGCCAGCTTACCTTGTAGCCCCAGTGTACTTGTGCGATTGATGTCCTCCATATACATTCCTGTCAAGAAGTACTCGGCCAGCAGCTTTGTATTGGTAAGACACTGCAACGCAGAGTTCATGTAACAGGTGTTGCCGAGATTGGCAAGCCCAACAGAACCTCCCGATCGCATTCGACGGGGGAGAGCGAGCTCCTGCTTTCGACGACTTTCTTCTTCAGACGGCACAGATGATGAATCATCTCCCATAACGTCGTCCTCCCCGTCCTCTTCAGCGTTTGTATTGGTTTTCATGGCCTTCGACTTCTTCAAAACAGTTTTTTTCGTATCAGCTTCCCAAATGTCTAGCATCGGTTCACCGTTATCGGCGATAACAACCCGCCGCTGAATTTCTGGTCCACCACCGTACCACAATTTGAGCGCCATCCACAATTGCTCGCAAATGATGACATAGTGACGCCCGTACTTTATGTCATCGGTTGTTTTTAGAATACGATCGCGACGGTCACTTGTGAGCAGCGGATAGTTGTTGATGCACTTTGGGCGTATAATCTCCCCCTTAAGGTTTTTCATGTAGTTATCCTTGTGGGAGGTGCTACCACCAGTAACCTGCATCTTTGATGTATTAGAAGTTGACGTAGAAGTGGAGACCGTATTTGTGTCCGTAGCCGAAGGCGTCAAAGCCAGAGATTCCTTCACACGAATCTTGATGTATCTGCACCAATGTATATACCACTTACGTTCAAGCAAATACCACCGATCATCTTCGACTAAAGTAGTAGGATCATATGGGGTATAGCACCCTGTCGCGACCAACAATTCTTCCTCCTTAGTCGCCGGAACAAGACCAAGATCGATAAATGTCACCTCGCGCATGATTCGCAGCGTAGATATCTCATATTTTTGCTTAGTCGCCCATGCTGTAAATTCTTCGAGCGTCAGCGCTAACGCCTTTGTTGGTGCCAAGGAAGAACTTGCTTCCCTAATGCTCCTTCTCTGTCCAAAGGTTTTCATCACACCATCAACAAAAATGCCCAGCTCTGACCCCGAAACTGAAGGTGTTCTAGGACCCATGCTCTCAAGCAAAGATGAAGACGATGAACTCTTCGTAGCATTAATTGCTGGGTATTTTTTATCAATGATAGCCGTGATTTCGCTTTCCAGGTCTGGATTCTGTGTAATATCCAATCTGAACATACCATAAATATCCTCACGCGTCATGTACAAGCCATCATCAACGCTCGCAAAAAGCTTAAAGGCAAACTGAGCTTTCTCATTAGCGGTGCCCCTGCAAGCAATTGACAATGAGCTAACAAAGCTAAACACGTCTATTTCTGAGCCATTGGCACGTGAGCCAAAGCTAGAAAACACTCGATGAAATCGATCTTCAGACATTTCCAACGGAAAGTCGCTGGTGAGAGCGTCCACATCAACTGCATCGCCGCCACCAGAAGCACGGTAGTTATTAAAAGCATCTTGTAGAATTGCTACCTCCTTAGCAGTAAAATGTGTCTCATTAGCCAAAATTTTCTGCTGGACCGCAGGATTAAACTCTTCCTGTGACTCCAGCAACTGCGGATCTGCTGTCTCGCACAAGATCTCGGCGAATGGGGCCATCCAGTCCACGAGGGTGTGATATGCATTGAGCTCCGGCACAATCTTGATAAAATCATCGCAGCTCATGCGTACCCGACCTTGGTCAAAACCTTCACTTAGCAAACGACGATACTCCGGACGATCCAAAATGTGTCTCCCATGCAGTGAGACCAAAAAGTTGCTAAGCCCGGTACTTTGCACTTTTCCGGAATGGTCTAGATCGCACATGTTAAAAATGAACTGAAGCCGATCGTCCATTGTACCACAATTTAAAATTGCCACTGCACGCAAAAACTCATCCATGTTAATGTCCGAACCCTGCCGGTCGGACACCGCTTTCATAAAACGCATCGCAAAACTCGAGGGCATGTCCGGAAATACACCGAGAATATCCCTTCGGAAAGATGCACGACTAATACAAATTTGCGATCCAGCCGTGTGCATAATAACGCTATGGCGATTTCCATGCTCATCAGTAGTGCTGCCCTTCGAAAGCTCACCACCGGCTACCTTCACTTCCGTTCCAGGTGAAGTGGGAGGTCGCCCACTAGGCGCACCAGAGTTAGAAAGAATCGAGCTGCTCCCAGAGCCGCGCGAGTTTTCCATATCAACTTTAGATGTACTGCCGTGGTATAAATATTTGGAGGAGCAAAGGCGCTTAAATGCTGCCGAAAAATCCTCCAAGCGATCGTAAGGCAGCATGTTTTTCATTCTTTCCGACTCCAGTTCTTTCTTATGTCGCTGAAGCTTACGTTCGTATGATTCCATGTGCGCATAAACTTCCAAAAAGTTAAACAAAGGTACGCGAATCAGCGGCCGGACATCGAGCACCTCGTTAATATACTTTTCCAGCTCGCTGCGGCGCTGCTCCACAACGCTTTGATGACGATTGCGAAACAAGTGACGCTTAGGAAAATACAGCTGCTTCACAGGCGAACTAGTTCTTTTGAGGCGTTCATGAAGTTCTCGAAAGTCTGAGTAACGCTTACGAATAATCCATTGTAGTCCTCCCTGTAGTCTCACCTCAACTGAAAAGACAGTGTGAATCGTTTTGTCAAACTCCGCCTCGGTGACGCCATCTGTAGGAAGCGATACACTTTCGATCTCAAAAGACGGAGCGGAACCGGAAGACTGGCTAGCATATGCCGATTCAGCCGCTAATCTCTTCTCTGTGTGTAAGCCAATAAGTTCACTAGATGTGTGAGACCGCTCTAGCGTCGGGGCAGCGCGTGTGCGATCCATCTTTTGTAGTTGAGATACGGTATCCTTGCCCTCGCCAAGGTCTTGTTGCTCAATCGTAACGCCGGGTACATTACTAGTCTCGTGGTCGTTAGATGACGTAGTCGACGACGGAGATGATGATATTGCCGCGTCTAGTGGTGTGACAGCGTTTGGAGCGGACGTGGAGACTGTAGCATCCATGTTAGTACCACACAGACTGAGCTCAGAGACCGAGGAAAGGGAGACAATATCTTCTTCATCAACAATGGACGCTACGCGTGCGCTATTTACGCCATCATCACTATAGCTGTTTGCGTCCATGGCATTGTCTCTGTGCAGCGCCATATCGTACGCGGGTAAGCTTGAGCTCTTGCGCAGCAACGGCGTCGTAGGCGGAGGAACTGATGACCTTGTGGTCAGTTCCTTCATAAAAAGACTAAAGCCTTCAAGTGCGCGTTCCCAAATGCTTAAAGTGATGGTCCGGCTAGTTCAAGCTTGAGGGAACACACCGGTGCGGTCTCTTTTAGTGTGTGCTTTTGCGAATGCTACTGTTCGGTTTTCCCTCCCCTTGACAAAAAGTGCAGTCAAAGTTTTGTGAAGTACCAGCATTAGACACAATAAGGAAAAGGCGCTGGTAGTAACAATTGTCAACAGCACGAGATGTTGACGTATGTGTAAGTTTTTTTAACATTTATTACCCTGTCAACAGCTCAGCAATAAGATGCTACAATACTTATTGCAATACCATTCTCTGATTATAAGTTTTTAGATGTAAAGTCAGTCGTTAGGCACACGATCTCGCGTACCACAAATTACAGCACAATAATAAAATTTATCAAAATAAATAAATAACGTGTGATCGCCCGCAACGTCAAAATGTAGCAACTCGCTCCATGGTATGACGCGGTAGATTGTTTATCCAAAAAAAAAAATGAACATCGCTGAAGGTCAAAATAGCGACCAAAGCAGCAAAAAAACAATCAAATTGTGCTCCCTTTTAAAATGGAAAATCTCGTCACGTAATATTTAGAGCTATGTTACAAAATAGATTCGTATCTTTCTCAAGTACTATTTTGTAGTGAAAAATATATTCGTCCTCACGATGATGACACTGTTTTTTTCTAATTAAACATGAGACAAAATGTCGATATTATCAAACTCGCACATACGGCAGGCTGGTACGCTGGCGTTTAGCGTTACATTGGTCGGCTCATGCCCGCAATAAGAAAAAAAATCGATGAGATTGAACAAGGTGTAATTTCATTTTTTAAATTTCTCATAATGCTTTAGTCAAGAAGATTTAAAGTGCCCTATTTATCGTTATATTTGCAGTGAGATATGAGCTTTATTACAATGTTGCGCTGTAGAACTTTCAGCCTCACCCTGCTAAAACAAAAATTCCAATATTCGTGCTTGTTGCTACCTTACGTCCACCTCAGACTGTTTACGAAAATTGACTGAACAAGTTCAATACGTGCTGCTGCCCGCACCACCGGTTTTCGACACTAAGCATCACAACTCATCGTCACTATCCATGTCAAAACTTGAAAGCTCCAGCAGCCGCTTGGCACGCTGGAGCAGATGGGTGTAATCATCCTCGATGATTTCATCTTCTTCATCCTCGTCGCTCGAGTCATCAAATTGGATCCCTAGCCTCTTTTCAAGCTCGGCAATTGGCCTTTGGAGTGTGTCCTTCACAGACGAATCTGCAGAATGATCGCTGTCACAATCAATGTCTTTCTGTAGCTCAGCAGTAGATGGAATGATGCCCTGATTAGTCGCAGAGAGGGAAGGCTCAACATTATCAACAGGTCCTTGATCCTCACAATGCGATCGACCAACACTTCGAAAGGTAGATAAATCTTCGCCTTTCGTTTCATTGTGATCCCGAGTTGCTAGCGGTAAATCATAATCACTTTTACCTTGCATCAGCAAGACATGTGAAGACGTAGACAAGTCTTTACCAGGTTCTCGCAATAACTTAGGCCCAGCCTCGCGTTTTGCCGACAGCTCTTGTGTAGGTTTTAATGCCGATATATCATTGAAGTTCGGTGGTATCACATCTCTTGCTGCTTGAGACTTTCGGGCCTCTTCATCGTGTACGCTTTTGCTTGAAGAATTTTGCACGGATAGAGGCGAGAAAATGCCATCATTTGCAGCTTGTGGAGTCGTGTGGGCGCTTTGGGGTGAAACTGGCTGCCATGCATTACGGTCTTTACTTTGTACTTCTTGCATCTGAAAATTGTCCTTCGAGTGCTTCAATCGATCCCGATCGTCAAAAGGTGTCTCCACACCAACAAGTTTTTCCATCACATGGCTCTCGACACTATTAATTTCGCTTTGACTACTGCTCATGCTGCTGCTCACATTTCCTAACGCCTTCTCCAGTAAACTCATTTCAGCCATCGTTCTCCGCATGGAAGCACTTGCAAAACTCATGCTACTGTCACTACTAGGTGGTCTGTGCGATAGTTGCTGAATGACACAATCGGAGAATGCGTCGTCTGGAGTACGCGGACGGCTTTCGCTTTTCTCGATTGGAATGACACCACTAGTAGGGACATTCCATTGCCGTGAAGGTCGACTACTTTCTGAATCGAGATTACCATCACGAGAACGGATAGCAATTCTTAGATTTTGTTGCCCGCCGTCGGTTTTTTCACAACTAAGACTTTGGTTTGAGTGATGTGAAGAGTCTTCATCCTGTTCTTTCTGTGCATGAGCTGTTATCCCACTGGTCTGCTTGCGCGTGGAATCGTGATCAGTTGTCTGAGGGCTAATGTCATGAATATATTCGCTTTTATCTTGGTGCCTCTGTTCGCGAGCGCATCGCGCAGTTTCCAATTTCAGCAGTGCTTTATCTTTAAGAGTCTGCTGTTCCAAAAGTTTATTTTCTAATTCTTGACGAAGGCGCTTCTCTGAGCTTAAAAGTGTGAGCTCTTCGCGCCGACGTAACTCAGTTCTCGCTCTAAGCGACTGTTTTTCATCTTCTCTCTTCCAACTTTCAAGCCTGAACAGATATTCTAGCTCTTGTTGTTTCGTCCGGCTTTCAAATTCAGCACGAAGCTTCGACATTCGTTCTTCCATTTCGCGCTGCTTGTGGATATTTCGAACCCGATCGTACGTCTCAGACTCAACCCGAAGTAACGCTTCTTCCTGCTGACGAGACGACAGCTCAAATTCTATCCGTTCCTTTTGCATCGCAAGTGTGCTTTCCAGGCGTTGATACTCCGTCTGAAACAGTTTTGTGGTTTCCTTCAAAGTCTCATTCGCAGAGGTCTCCAGAGTGCTTAGATGTTGAAGCCTCCGTTGTCGAGTCTCGTAGTCAAGTGTCTTGAGGTGAAGTATTCGCTCTTTTTCAGCAGCAACTGCTTCCATTCGTCGCTGTTCTTCGGCTTTGAGAATTGCTTCCCGTTCCTTCATCCAATTTTCATGCTCCTTTTGAAGTTTTTCCGATTCCTTTTTAATTTGTTCGAGTAAATCTTGTTTACGAGCCAGCTCTGCTTCTTCCAAAGCGATTCGATTGCGTTCCTGTAGAGCAAAACGAGTTATCTGAGCACTAATCAATTTCCAGCGAGGCATTTTAACGTACGCTGATTTGAAAGTCTACTACAAATTGTGGGTAGTGTGCAAAAGCGGGATATTGTCCTCTTGACAATGGCCAAAACGATCTGTGACCGGAAGTCGAATGATCTGTAGCTGTAGGGTCGTTAATTGCCGTATATACGCTTAGATCTAGTTTCTCACGCAAATTAATCACCAGTTGAACAAATTTTTGAATGTCAATCGCGTTTTGTTGATGAAAAAACTGTTCGATTGACAAGCGATTGCAAGCAGCTAAGAGAGCTGTTCGGTAGTACGACAGATACGCCAATACAGCTACATAAATCAGTTGAGGCGCATCTGAGTATGCAAAAAGATAATCCCACAAACACATCCACTCTTCCTCGCTGAGAACTTCAGTAAAAATCGTCTTGAGCAAGCTCCAAGCGTACACCTCGGATGTAATTTGATAGCGTGTGAAATGATCATGTAGCTGACCATCCCTTCGAGCAAGTTCACTTTCGATTGCCCTCATAGCAAGCAAAGGCGGGCATGGAAGGTTGATGAGATAATCACCGCACCAATGGAGCAGGACACAAATACTTGCTTCGAAAGCTGCTAGATCATTTTCTTTGAAGATCTTGACGAATGGATACACCATCGCAGGCAAATAGCTGACTTCCCCAAAAGCTGGACACCAGTAAACAATTGCCGACAGAATGCGATGGAGGCGGCGATAGATGCGACTGTTTTGTAATGGGTAGCGCTCCTTTAGCCGTACAAAAGTAGGATGTTTGCCTTTTGCAACTAAAGATCGAAATGCTTCTTCATTTTTGGGCAGGCGAAGAAGAAAACGCCAAATGAGGGCGCGGTATTTCTTGGGAAACTTTCCATTTACCTTCAAGCTACTAACGAGGCGCTTGCGGTTCACCTCGATTTCTTTATCTGACAGTTGAGCGGGAGACTGAGTCAAAGGGCTTGGTCGCCTTGTTTCCACATTGCCCCTTAAGTTTGCATTTTTGAATTCTTGCGATTTTCCAGACGTCATACCATACGAATCTTTGATTGCCTGATCACGTGCTCGTTCGGTATTTGCTAATCGTAAACGTGTTATTTTAGTTTGACCCAATGTAGTTCCATTTCGTGTATGCTCTAAGGCACGATTGGTACGTCTTGATTGTTTTAAACCAAACAAACTGTCAATAAGCTTTGAAGGAACTGGGCGGCTAAAGTCTGGTGCCACTTGGTTGGTGTCAGACGGGTCAAGTTCTGATAATGTTGGATCGTGCAGCCCGAATCGGGTGCGTAATTGGGCATATTCGCCTTCCTCAGTCAAACCTTCTTTCATTCGTCGTTCGTAGGCACGAGCTGTAGTCTCTCTCGTAATTGCCATATCGTACAAAAGAAGAAAGCCATCGCTAGGCGCAAGAGAATCAACGTTACAAACTAGGAAGGGTCTTCGCCAACAAAATTCGACAATGTACCTTGTAGTAGTAGCAAGATAACGGCCATGACACTCAATATCAAAAGCAACGATTTTTCGGCCACAATTAGAGATCTCTAATTTAATCTGCGGATTTCTTGCAGCAATATCAAGAAAAAAAATTTCTCCATCATCTGCTAAGATGCTGACCATAGTATTGTGTCCTGGTAGAAATGCGTGCTATATAGCACACAAACCTTCATATATCAAACAATTTTGAAAGCAATACCCAGCCAGCTATTCTGTTGTACTTACAGTGACAACCTGTTGAATGGGGGCTGGAAGCTCAATTATCCGAATAATTGTCTGTGATTCAAATTCCCAAACATAGATACACGGAGCTCGACCACTACAACACATTTACAAGTTAAAATTAGCAAAATTTCTAGCCTGAAATGAAAGAGTGTATTTACCTGGCCACTAGCACTTGGTGGTCATCTGAGACCGCGATCTTTTGAAGTCCTGGTGACTTTTCTGCCTCAGGAAGTGAAAAACGATATTTGAGTGCTAGCGACTCAAGTTCCCACATCATAATCGTATCATCTTGGAAGCAGACAGCCACAAGATCTCCTTTTGACACAAACAAGGCCTCCTCCACACCAGGTCCTGCATTGAGAACTCGATACTTCGACCAGTCCTTCGTTTCCCACAAAATTACCGCATCTTGTGACGCGGTAAGTGCTAGCTGTCCAGATTCTTGAAAGGAAATACGCTTAGCTGGGAATCGGTGGCCTTTAAGCGTGCTAATAAGTGTCTGTGATTGCACGTCAATGCAGCGCACAGTCTCGTCCTCGCAAGTAAGGAGTAGCTCCGATTTGCGCTTTGGGCTAAAGCAACAGCTGATAATAGGTACACCTAGGTGCTGCACAAGTGAGTAGCGATTGGCTGTTACGAAGAAGACAAATATGCGGCCGCGCTCATCAGTGGCTGCCAACAACTCGCCCGATGCATTGAAGGCCACAGCACGAAATGTCGTCGCTCGTTTGTCGTATGAGCTTAATGGAAGATTCTTTACGCGGGAGAGTAGACCTTTGCTACTGACTAAGGGACGGCGCGGCCAGATCACGCCATCCTGAGTAGCGCGCAGCGCTAGCGTCTGCACCATGTCCAAGACGTTAAATAATTTTTGAGCTAGTTCATTTCAGCAGATAGGAACCAAAAATTCACATTTTTGCTTATAAGAAAAATCAATCATGTCTTTCGAGAAGTGTAATTTTTTCGTCAGAAATGCTATAACCGTCACGACACAAGATGAAACTTGACACTTTCCACCTCACGACAAAAAGCTACGTGCCACGATGTATGTTCTCGTAAGGTCAAACGATATCTGCTCGGCGCTAAGCTATTCGTAATTTATTCGAATCATGCGTCATTTATTATACACAGCGATATTGTCACCTCTTCTGACTTCAATACAATGACACATTCATGCTAAATTTCATCAGCTCGAAGCAAATAAATCACAAACTATGACCACAGAGACATGAATGGCCTCTTTGGATCTAAGATTTCAAGACAGGGGCGCACAAAAGGCTGAATTTAGCAGCGTTGAAGGTTTTACCCCAACACCACATACCATTTTTTTCAAAATTGGTATGGGTCATGCCATATCAGTATAATTATTTTTTTAAAATCCTTTGAGATAGTGGCACTGGCCAATCAACCATGACTTTACTTTTTGCTGGATCTGCCCGGGCATGCGCTCTGCGCGACTATGGACGAAATATCACCTAAAGTATATGCATGGTGCAACCTAATCAGCTGCGTAATGAGAATGCTAGATGTTGTCGTGGCATTAGACAGGATATGGGGTATATTCAGTCACAGGGGATTCATTCAGTCCTCATGCAAAAAATGGTAGTATCCCATGTTTACTTTGAGAACGCCTTTTTAAGCACACCACCATGCTCTTACGCGAAACATCGTTTCTATCAACTCGCATTCGCACCAATGTAGCGACTGCATCTAATTTATTATAAACATGCACAATCTGCCACTACAATTAGCCTTTCTGACACAAAAATGGTGCTGGAGGAAAGATTTGTTGACGTCGCACAGTTTTTAGGTTTGGTTTCGGAATTTATACCATGGCAATAAAACCAGTCTGACAGACAACGTTTGGAGTAAGTCTTCTGTCTCCACGTCGCGGTGTTGCTTCGACAAAGAATAACAAAGAATTCGCGTGATTTTTGACAATAGTGAGCCATTCCAAGACGCTCAGCGCTCTCTGAAAAATCACAACGACAAATGCATTTATGATTATAAACGAGCGCGGCATCCTTTCTACTAATTTTCAGAGAGATGACTCAGTTTTCATCGCCTATCAATTTGCTTTATCCCTTTAAGTATCTCGTATGCTTTTCTTAAGCTTCTATGTTGAGACGAATTATAACACCAGTCAATCTTTGAGGAAGGAATGTGATAGATTACCAGAAAATTGCAAAGCGTTGATGCTGTGCATGTCAGCTATTATTGTCGACCTAGCTGTGATTTTACCGCATGGCCTGAAGGAATCAACATGTATCATGGTAGGACCAGGTCAAACAATCGCAACTCAGTCGTCTGAATCTACATAAGATTGTCCTGAAATCACAGCTCCAGCTGTCATCGCCTTCTAAACTTTGCTCAACTCGTAGCAACAGCTATTCAATTTATTGCAGACCATTTCATGCCTGCATCAAAGCTGCCGCAGCTTTGTGCCAATGTCAGACGCACTTTTTGCTTTGAAGAAATGGGCTTGCGACTCATCACCAATACGACATTAGAAAGAAGGGCGTGTAGCCTATAATCTGAGGGTTACAGTCAGTCCATGGTATGTGGCGATCCATTAGGCCATATATAGGATACTGTCGAGTTCTTGATCAAGTTCTAGAACCAAACTGCACTCCGAGCAAAAAGCCTATGTGTTTTTTCGGGGAGATTAAAAAATAAATGTTTTGATAACATGAATCTATGAAAAAGAGACATTCACAACATGGGCGTAGTAATATTTTCGCTGACGGATGTTACAACGGGGCACAATGCCAAACTAAGAGTACCGTATTTGATCGATTATTGAGTACATCCACCAGAAAGTCGGAAAGTCGCTTTACCTTGGTGACGGATATCAGCAATACATATGGCTTACATGCAGGTGCGGCTTCGATCAAAGCCTTCCATGCCCGCCTTCTTCATCCGAGAACGAGCTACAAATGTTTGGAGCACAATTGTCGTCTATTTGCAGTACGGAAGATGGAGGCTTATGAGCGCGCCAGAGACGATGGACCTCGGCTAAGCTGTGTTGCAAGTGAAACATCTGCGGTTTATTTCAAACATTTACCCCCATTTACCTCCATCTATCACAGAAATGATACAAAGGGTCGATCCCCTTGCGTGGCAACGTCGAGCCACACTAGGCGCAAAGCTACTTGTTTGAGTACGATGTTTAGGTTTTACTTTTGAACCAGCGACATTGGATAAGAAGTGTGACTGACAGCCCACAACTTCTGGTTGTCAAAATTAATTTGATTATGAAGAAATCTTAACAGATTTGGAAGCGTCGTGCGCTAACGTGCGCCGTGTGACTTAAAAAAATAAAAAACACTCGGGGGAATTGAAGATGCAAAGTACGTGTTCAAAAGAGAGTCTTGTTACACTTACAGAATTAAGAATTTTTTTTATTATGCTCACATCATTTTGATCTACTTAGACCTGAACTTTAGATTAATTTCTATCCTAGATATGTTGCGATTGAAACATCATGAGACTTATATCTCTTGATATCAAACACATTGAGCGTCCGATTGTACTCAGACGTTGTTGTCTGTTAGTCATCTTTACACGAAAGCAGAAGCCGTATCGAGGTCACACGTACCTTGTATGATTATGCGGTTCGCATAAGATTGTGCGACCATACATAGGTGTGTATTACACAAGTTGGTGTAATCACATAGTGGTGTGGCTACATCGTAACAAGAAGCCACCACGTGGCAGGATTGTCAGTAGTAATTCATATTACTCTATTAATTAGATGTCACTATATTGATTAGGAAAACTACGGATTTGGATATTGGCGGCTCTGCCGCAACTTAAACAATTATATACAATATATGTTTTGAAAAGGAGTGTTCGTTTGCCTTGGTTAATGCTTCCGGATTGTTTTGAACAGAAGTGCTCGTTTGCCTTGGTTAAGGCTTCCGATTTGCCTACTTCTTGGAAAGAATGTAAGGTCGGTGACCTTAGCTTAGCTTCCTCCAAGCAAATAACTGAGCAGCCCCGCTGCACTTGGTAGCACTTGTAGTCAACCTACGCCCGAGTTGTTACAACTGATCATCTCTGAGGCTGGAGGAATACAATTATCCGCCCAGGTCATGCAAAACGGATGGCCCTGATGGGCCCTGAGGGCGTGGGACACCTCGTTGCGCAAAAGGACCGAGGCCATAAGCGCGCGCATAAAGGCGTTTTCATGTAATGAAAATACTCTGTTAGAGCACTAACAGCAGAAGCAGTCAGCGTCGACTGCGTCTATGGCGCCACCGTCGACGACGGATGATTCCTTCCAACCCAGGCCGCTCATGGTGAGTACTAAGACCTTCGAGGGTAAGGATGGAGAGGATCTCCTGCTCTGGATTAGAATGGCCGAGATGGCTATGGCATTCGCCATGCTTCAAAACGAGCAATATCGCGTGGCGCTAGCTATCTCCAAACTCAAGAGCCAAACGCGAGAATGGGCTTTAACGTGCGGCGCTTCGGTTGAAGCTGCATTCCATTTCTGAAAGAAGCAGAGGCGTCAGCTTCTGCGAGTGTTTTTGCCGCCTAAGCAGGCATGTCACGTGCGATCGCGTTTCTTTGCTGCCTGGCAGAGCAATAAAGAGTTGGTGGACTTTGTCAAAGCGTTGAGAACTCGCGATGGTAGCAGATCCTCTCTCCGAGGCGGTCGCAGTGGCTGCCTTTATGAAGGACGTCCGCACTGGCGTGGCCAGAATGGAAGTCTTTCGTGTACATCCGTCTTCTTCTGGAAAAGCGATGAGAGCTCGTCGAGCGGGCCTGAGCCAATGGATCTCCGCTATACTGAGAAGGAGGCGGGAGAGCTTTGATCTGAGCAGCGTGTAAACACCTCACGGTGTCTTGTTCGTGAAGACACCCGTCACCTTCGGACGGGTCAATCCTTGCGCAAGGCGCTTGAAAGATCGTCGAATTGACGTATCGCTTCCAACCAGTCTGGTTTGACGCGGGGAAGTGGCAGACTTGAAGGTTATTCTTCAGCCTTAGCCAAAGGGTATACTATACTACCAGCAAATACCACTAGGCATGAAACTGCCATTTTAGTAAATTTTGTCAGCTTAAAGCGACAAAGAATAAAAGCTACTTGACAAGACGTATAATCCTGTTACGCTCAAAGTTCAATTGCTTCACTCTATGTCATTAGTAATTTACACAATGCATGCATCGCTGCGTGCAGCGACGCCGTTACCACATCATTCGCGGTAATTGACAAAATGGTAATCCTTCATTGACAAGTATACCCTAAAATTAAGGTGTTAGCCAAATCGCCATAATACGCGGCGGACGGCATTTTGCGTCTCGCTGACTACGAGCTGCGGTGTGCCACGATGATGACGTCTCGCATCACATAGGTAATAGGTAAAACATATGAGTCCGATGCAAGTATGTTGTAGGATTGAAAAGTTTGAACACCAAGGAGTCTTAAATCTCGTATATGCTTTATCGAAGCGTTTGGCTGCACATTTGAGGAAATGCCGCGACCTTGACTGCTTACCCTTCTTACACCAGGCAACAAAGTAATGAGAGTCTTGGCGTTGGTCAAATGTTCATTTTTCGGGTGCGCAAATAAATTGCGCGATCGGATGTTTTAAATTGAGACGCTTTAAGCGGCTCAGAACTGGATCGTTATTCTAAAGCAAAATGTGGTTCGGATACGGAGAATATATATGAAGTTTCTTCGTCTGCAACAGAGCGCTTCGCAACTTTTTGGCTCGTGAGAGAGGTTGTGGGTTTTCAGTTAGCTCACGTTGAGTATAGTATATCGTCACAATTCTTTTGGGATGTTGAAATTTGTAACTGATTCCCTCTCTGACTCCAACAGTGAAAGGTCTAATATGGCGAGAAAGCAACTCAGATGAGGAGATTGCAAGCTCGGCACGGGTCAGTAAGTAGTAGCGTTTGCAATGCCTTTTACACATTACGGCGTTTTGTCTGCCTCTAGCATCTGCGTGCTGCTTTTACGCACCCAGAGTTTTAGCCATAGCATCGCTCGCTCGGTACTGCGTTGTTTGATATGAACGCGAGGTGTCGGAGAATTATGCTCAAGCACCTCGCTCTCTCGAGCAAGCTCAGAGGATATCCTCTGTCTCGTGATCAACCCGTTTGTTTGACATCTGTCAAGGGGTACACATGTCTAATTTGGCGCTAAACACCTCAATAATTTACGCCGATGTCTAGGTGTAACGTACCCTGTACAGGTGCCTAAGATCTCCGCTACGGCGGGGGGCGGCTTCTGAAGTGTCAAATCCATCATTGCGCCGATTTTTGGCCCTATAGGCTATGACTTTCGCGCTTGTAACCGTTAAATCTGAAAAAATTCAGATTTGCTTACTTACAACAAGTCGAATCTTGCTGTGTATCCTGCGGCGGGAATTGTGACTAGTGAGTAAGCACGGAGTACGCAGCCTGTCCAGTGGTGAGGACGAGCGCTCATAGTTGAGATCCCCTGTACAGTATAGTCGTATAGTCCTCAAGAGCTCGCATATCGCCACTGTGACCCTTCTAATCAGGGAGAACCTCCGCTACCTCATCGAGTTCGGCCACAGGATCGTGTATCCTCTTTGGCTCGTTATTTTATAAATCTAAGCAGGGAAGGATTTTCCAATACGATGTATGATCGTGAGAACAAAATGAGACGAAGTTCTGGTGCAGCGGATGCTCCTTTAGGTTTTACTTTATTTCACCGAGTCCGGGACAGTGTCACAGAGTCCGTACTCTGTTATGGTATGAACACATTATACTTTTGCTCCTCCGACTTAAAAATCTCAAAAGCATGAAAGTGATGTTCCACGCTGAAGTGTCATGATGAGTATCAAATACGGATGAGGCTGTAAGGAAGAGGCCCGTAACTGCTTGCCGTGTGTCATGTGGCACATAATATTACATTTTTGTCGATCGCAAAACTGATAGAACGTTATAAGTGAAATCATTTTAATATGGGCAGGCCTCTACATATAAGGCATTTTATTAATAGATGCCTTATATGCCGTATATTGTTTCGAGTTCGTGCCTTTTTTACAATTTTTTTATTAAAATATTA